AAAAAAAAACGACCGATCCGGGAACGCCTGAAAAGGAGGCTACTTCCAGGGTAGTTATATTCATGCCGGCTGCTTTACGGAAGTAAGTGGAGAAAACCGAGAAGGTGCATATTCAAGATTGCAAGAACAAATTCTGAATAACTCTAGATGCTTCTTGAAATCTTCGATTTCTCGTAGATGATGGTTGGTCTTCATTGGGCACTTTGTCTTCCTATGTACAACTTCTGCTTTATCTACCCAAATAAGCCATTCTGATTGTCACGGTCTTTTTAGCCGACAATAGGCAGTTGAAAAACCTTTCTGAATTCTACGTCATTCTTCTCCAGGTCCAACCTGAAGCTGTGTGCCCAGTGTAAGTTGACCCGGTACTGCAGCCGAGACTGTCAGAAACAACACTGGACTGTCGGACACAAGAAGAGCTGTGGGCATGACACGTGCATTGTCGATGGACCTGTCATCGAAGCATTGTTGGCCCCATTGTTCAAGTTGGCAGGAAAACTAGAGTAGATGCGGAACGTGTATAAGTTATAACCAACGATTTTAAACCTCCCTGATATCTACTGACTTTACATCTTTAACTGCGGTATGAAATGCTTTATCATTTTTTCGGACTATGGAAGTATTGTTTTGGGTGCCAAGGAAAGACGTTGCTGCAATGCGGCTATGTATGATAAAATACATGTACTAGTAACAAGCGACGTCGCAAAACACATGCATTAGCTGTATCTCACTCATATCCAAGCTCATATTTCACTAGAATATAATCCTGATACCTTTGTATGTAGTAATGTTGTGTCACGTTTTGTTGTTTTTTTAACGCACATATATTCTGTCCAAAATACTTACAGTTTTGTACAGCTTTGCTTCTTCCCTCTTGTACAATGTAAACAAGTATTTATATAAGATAAGTTATACGTCGTATAACTTTATTCGCAAAATCATGCCCGAAGGCTAATCGCTTTTACAGTCAAGAACTAGAGGTCGGAGATCTCATGTCTTCGTCAGAGGTACATCGTTCTAGAGAAATTAACATGCGTATTCTTCACTCTTTTTAATAATCAATTTGGTCTAAAGAACAAACGAATCTCTGTACTATTTTTATGGTACAGAACACCCTGAAACGGTTTGCCGCAGATTTTACAGATGCGTCGTCACCCGTGTTAGCCACCCCCCCCCCTACGTTATTTGAGTTTGGACTGTTACTGGAAAAAAAAACGTTCAAGAAATTCTTACTGTGTTGAAAGTGTCACGACAGCGCCGCAAAATATAATAAGAGAAGATGTTATAAAGGAAAGAATCAGAACAGGGTGACTACTGGCTGCTGTTTTGTTAATTTGTCTTTATGACAAATAGAAGGCTTGTGTTCTTTGTGTCCTAACATTTGTACTTTTACAGTTAGTATATTCCAAATCTAGGCATCTCATTTTTCGGCCCTTCGTGTTTTTATTGCGCGCTTGCCTTAAATTTAAGGTAATTAGATTTAAGGTCTCCAGTGGACGTCATCCATAGCAATTACTTGGTGTGGCCGTAGAAAATAAGCTGACATATGTCCAACCTATCCTCCCCCTGCTGAAGTTATAGTACAATCCCTCAATGTAACGTCATTTGATCCCATCCCATTATGGGGTTCCCCGGCTATATCCAGCTGTCGGCTGTCTCCAAGCAGATGTAGGTGAGGGATTTCTAAACACAAAAGGTCCTATTACGGGGACATAACGACCTCCACGACTCTCATCTTTGAACTCAATCTTGGAGACCACCACAGTAACATGCCTATCAAATTTCATTAACTTCCATCCACACATACAAAAGTTATCCTGCTCACAAGAAAAATTAACAAAATGCCCCCTGTAGTCACAACGAACCCCCCCCACGAAGCTCAGTAACGAACTTAACCTTGGTCCCGACAATAGTAAGCACCACACCAAGAATTATAATCAACATTTTACAAATACTTGAGTTATCTTGCTAACAAGCCACAAACACAAAAGGTGCACTAACGTGACGCACGGACCCCCCACGAAGCCGAAACTTGTACTTGACTTCGGCCTCAACAGCGGTAATCTGCCTGCCAAAAATCATGGACGTCGATCATGCCTTCCAGAGTTATAACGCAAAATCCGCAGTTCCCCACACTCCGGCGAGACAATTTCATAGTCCTTCTGACGAAGACAATAATACACATTGTAATACAGTAACAGGAGACAGGTAACAACTGTCTGGAAAAAAAAAAAACTTACAACTTATACAAGTTATTGTGAGAACAACTTCTACCATAAACGCATTTTTTCCTTCCTACTTATTTCGGTCGGTCAACTTTTATCGCCATGCTTACGTTTTATACAATGTATAATATAGTCACAGTGATTCTTGTTTGATCTGATAAAGGCAACTTTCTACTTAACTGTTTGACTGTTCCTTTGTCTATCTATCCTTTTCGAATGTAAAACTGATGAAGCGTTTAGCCAAGTGTTATTCGTATCCCCGTGTGAAAAATATTAAACGGGGCTCCAAAATCCAGTACCCAGACTCTACTGCCAGTACTAGGCTTCAGAAGCTGGCCAAAAATTGTAACTTTACAGTTGTATAAGCGGAAAACCCCACCGGCATATCTGGATCTGTCTATTTGCCCTAATTCCTTTAGCCGATCCTGATACTAACTAGTAATCACCAAGCAGATCATACAGTGGAAAGGCAGAAAGTCAAAGTGATCTCGAACCAGTTTTATTTATGATAGCTCATTGAAGAGCTAATCTTCCACTGGTTGTGACAGAGAAGACAGACGCTATGTAATGTTACACATTGTACCCGAGCTCTTTTCGACAAGCACAATGAACAGTGGACCACGGCCTAGCTAGCCTCTACCAGGCTTGGGAAGGTGGCTGGAAAGAGTATAGAAATCGGCCAAATAGAGAGATAACATGCCAGAGGAGTTTGTCCGTTGAGAGAACATTTCGCCGCGCTTTCTAGACCCTTTCTACTCTTTCCAGCCGCCTCCCCAAGCCTGGTAGAGGGTAGGCCTAGCGTCCCGTCCTAGGGACTGCAATCGCTAACTACTAGACTACGCACGCTACTGTCCTGAAGCCTGGTAGAGGCTAATCTCCAAGCAGATCCCTTTCGGTGGCAAAAAGACAGTATCAAATTGGCCAAGCAGTATCCATTACGGCAGAGAAGGTCCGGTGGGGGTAGCGACAAAAAAAAACGGCCACATATAAAAGGTAACGATCATTTCCCCACAACCTCTGCTTGGAGAGTAGGTAGTCCTAAGCCCCACTCCCACTAGGTCACGTGGCATGACAATTTCTCCCCGCACCTCTCGTCACTCCTGACGGTGTTCAGTTCGCACCCAGACGTCACACGTACAACAACACAGTAACGGCGGTCCTGACGACATGGCGAGAAACCCGGGAGAAGATCTGCTGTATTCTGCCAACATCGGCTGCCTGGAAGGCGTCAAAGCAGCTATGAAAGCTGGTAAGCTTGTATGTCATATTGTAACTCCTGTAATCTCCAAGCAGATGGTTTCTGATCCAGACTCCCCTTGCGCCCCCCCCCCCCCCAAAGAAATATTGTCGGACATAATCTTAGTATTCATCTGGTCGGCTATTAGTTATTAAACATCGCCAGCCTTTGGGGCTGACATTGGGAGCCTGTTGTTGCTTTGCTGCCACCTTTCATTATTTGTCGATTACCGGAACTACATGTAACCAAGAGGTTAAAATACAGATTTTTAACCTTGATGTAACGTTATACTAGTAGTAATCAGAAGCAGACTGTCAGATGTCACATGCGGTGCGCCGTGTAGTCACTATCACCGAGTTTGCAAGTTCTAATTATAAAACTTATACTTTATAGCGTACCTTTACGATACTTTATCAAAGTATATATTATGTATGCTACAAGTGCTGTTTGCATGTTTCAGTTTACCACATGCACAGACATGCTGTAGTGATAGTACGTTTGAAAAGAGGGTTTGATTCGCCGAGGTTATTATTCAAATGCAAATCAACAGAAGTGCGAAGTACAGTGCACTAGCGCCACCTTTTGATCTTTGGCCGACTGTGCAGGAAATTTACATACAAGCTCAGGCTGACAAGGAAAGTCCAGCAGGACTGCTGTGGGTCTCTTTTGTTCTTAGAGTTAGTTTAAATCACACATCACGGCGTTGACAGCTGTCGCCAGTAGTCTACTTCACACAAAAAAATTATGCTAGCAGCATGTTTTAAGTGTCCAAGCCTTGTAATGAATATCAATGAAGACCTTTATTGTACATTTTTGCCCCACACCAGGTCACATTATACATATTCGAATGCATATTCATATAAATATACATATAACTATTACATGTATATATAACGTTAAATGTCTAATGTATTCTAGTCTTTTCAACTTCTCGCTTCTTAGTAATTGTATAAAAAAATTAATTTACGATGCTGTATGAGTAGTTTAATAGATTTGGTGCATCAAAGGTTAACAGAAATAATAGTACTTGTTAAGAATCCGAAGTGGGGAAATTTACTTAAAACATGTCCAAAAAGTATGCTTCTACCACTGTCATATAAAGGACAATCTATGGTAAAATGTACTTTGTCCTGTCAAGGACATAATGTCCTTGGTCCTCTACTCTACCTAGATTACATGAGTACATGTGTATCTGTCTGTCGACAGTTTTATGGCTGAAATGAAATGAAATGGACAGATATATCAAACATGCCAGGGGAGTTAGTCTGGTGATACAGTTTGCCGCTCTGTACTCCAAGTTAGCGAGCTTACTAGTACACATCTGACCTGGGATGTTAACGTTATCTGTTAATTTTTCCAACTCTTTCAGCCACCTCTGAAGCCTGGTAAGAGGCTAGTAATAGTGGTGGTGGTGGGAATGGGAACTGCGTCGGCTGATATAGCTCTTCCCCCCAATACAACCCTCCTCAAAAAGAAAGCAACGCGCTATTAGACCTATATATTGAGACCATTGTGTTTTGCCAAAACACAAATTGCGATGTGTCTTTTGGGCTTGCCACTTGTGTAATGTAATGATTGATTTTCAAAAACTTGTCAAAGCTGTTTCAACGATATGTAATCTCATCTCCGTATAACTGACCACACTCAGGTGCAGACATTAACTACACCCAGCATGACAACGTCATCACCGGCAGGGGAACGGCTCTGTTCAGCGCCTCCGTATTCGGACATGTAGATGTAGTGAGGCTGCTGCTTCGCAAGGGGGCGTCTGTATGGAAGAGAACCGACGGGACATTATCTTCTCCCCTTCATGCAACGGCAAGCCGAGGTGGGTCATTAATTTAGAAAAATGGTTTAATAAATAAGAGCTTATTAGTCAAGCAAGCTTAGGCCACACCAATTTAATTTGTTGGTTCTCGGATTCACCTCTTCATTTTTTTTTTGATTTGCAAAAAAAAAAGGTTCTGAATCAACTCAAATGTGCTCATATTTTGCCCCTAACAGTTAAGGAAAGTCCTTTTCCTCCTACAGTTCTTACTACAGTTTCACACAGTGTCACATTTATTTAATTATTTGAAAAAGAATAAACTGACCAGTAGTTTTTCAGGCTAGACCATGTGATTTAAAAAAATATTAATTAAACATTGTGTATTTGCTTTGCAAATGTTACCTATCTAGTTTGTGTTTATATTTCATAATAGTAATACTGTATTATCCTATTGCTTCTTTGAATGTAACGTTGGTTGATGTACGTGGATGAAGGTTAGACATCCAGGTAATACGATACGCCAAAAAGCAGTTTCTCAAGCAACTGGATATGATTTTGGTTGATATACATTTCTAACATTGCAGGGCACACAGAAGTGGTGGAGTTGCTGGTACATCACGGTGCAACGTTAGACATACGGGACGGTATACAGGTGACGCCACTCATGACTGCCTGCATATACAAGCAAGTGGACACGGCTCGGCGACTGATCGAGCTCGGAGCAAGAGTTGATCTGGCCGACCGTTTTGGCCGGACACCGCAGAGGTATGCAGGGTTCTCAACAGGATTTTTTCACAGCATAGGGGGACCTAATGCAGCGAAGCCACACGGCGAGCGCGGTGCGGACACAATGTGTATTATGGGGGGGGGGGAGGGAGAGGGTATCGATTCTTAAACTTGTAAGTTAATATAACCTCCTGAAACACCGTATCCTGCATTTTGAGGGCCAGATTTTGCAATGCATTCTTAATTACAGCAAGGAAATCTTCTATTTCATAATAAATAAAACAGTACATACTATGTACTGCGATAACGATTGATATTTCCAAATAGAGGAGTACAATGTATTGTATTGTTTTGGGTGGCTGGGCTGTTGGTGTCACGTGTGTGTGTGTGGGGTGGGGGGGG